GCAACAGGTGGTGGAAGATTGGAAGAGGTTTCTATTACCACTGAACCTCTTCACTACTCGTATTACTTTTATATTAGTTCTTAACTCAATAACCGAATGTCGATATTCCATAATGACATCACGAGAGCCAATCGATTTTTATTTCTTTCCTCATCGCGTGCTTCAATTACATTTTTAAAGAAGAGAAAGATTTATTAAACGAGACTATTGTTCGGGTGATAATAATTAGAAACCTCTGGTAACTTGTGAAAACTTTTTCGATAATCCGGAAAACATTATCATGAAGATTTCTTATGGTCGCACGTAAAAGGGTTTTTAATTATGTCTTCCAAGATATTCAACCTCTCCAAGAAGAGATTGTATTGAAAGCGTAGCGAATACTTTTTAAATGTTCATTTCATTATTTATTTTATTTATCAGGCGTTTGTTTAAAATAAGTGTCGACTAGCTGTAAACGATACAATATAAAAATTGAACGGAAATTGCCTGCAATTATACAAAGAATTGTAAATACTGTTTAAGCCATTAAAGAACGGCTAACACCTGTGTAAAACTGAAAAAGTTAACAGTTAGCTGGATGAATAATACGCACTTAATTTTCTATGCCAACATGTCATTGTCTTATTAAAAAAAATGTATCTCCTTGGCATTGTACATAAAAGGTTAATACTCAAAGATACACTCTTGCAGAGTGACTCGGAATAAAAAACGTATTAATCCAAATGTACAGCTGTGGACGACAAGAAGTTCACAATCTAAACAGCTTGTGGTATCTTATAAAACAGAATCAAATAGTTTCGTTCTTGAACTCCTTTAGCAGTTTCAACTGGAATTGTACATAATGGTCATAGAACTCATTTAACTTCTTTCCAAAAATAAGAAAATAGTTTTTATAAATGTGCGTTGAAATTTTGTTTTTTGTTTCTATATATTGGAGGAAATATTGTGAGGTTGTAAGAGTCGTTCAGTGGATTATTGGATTTTTCTCCTCCAACAAGATGAACACAGCAAATCTTAGAATTTTCTCCCGAAAGCCACGCCTGTAATTAAAATGTTATTCATCAAATCATACCTAATACTAATAATCAATAAAATATATAACTTATTAAAAACATGAAATATTAATCTGTTATGATCCTACACTTATTTTATTTTCTGTTCTGAGTTAACCTGACATTGAAATGATATACAGGGTAATTTATGCAAAAAAAATTAGAATATACATTTACAGATACAATTTTGTAAAAAAATGAAAAAGGGCAGTTCGAAAATAATTTAAAAATACACTTCTGTTTGGCAATGGAAACTGGTCCATTGTAAAACCAGACCATGGGCAAAGCAAAGCATGCAGTCAGCTGCAAAGTGTAATAAAAAATGAATGGACAAAAATTTGAAAGAATTTTTCCAAAGGAAAGAAATAACAAACATTGTAACACCTATTTTATATCAGCAGGTTATTTAATCAATAAAATTAATTGGTGGTTTTAATTAATGAAATAAAAAATTCTAAATGGTTATAAAAATGAAGAAATAGGTGTTTTTAGTATTGATCATTGTTTATTATGACAAGTATCACTAAAAAATTGTGTGCCCTTTCTATACTTTTTGAAATTTCTTAATTAACAATCCTGTCGACAGAAAACCACGCGTTCGATCGTTGCAAAATTTTTATGGTAGAATTGACATATGTTTTACTATCTGTTCACAAAGTTTCATCAATATTTATTTACTTATTTTAAAAATTGCTCTATATGATATTCTACTAAACACAAAAAATAAACAAAAAATTAAAAATTACTTTTTATTTAGGACTTACTTTCAACAGGGAAAAATATGACGAAAAACGGCTCATTTTCTTTTTGTTGTTGTTCTTCTTAATTTAGCATTGTGTTTTTTTTTTAATAGGCAAACTCGGATTCTTATTCCAGATAGTATTTGGGATTTTTCTGTACAATAAAATAGATGACTTCAAACACAAACGCCAAAACCTACATTTACTGCTCTACCGCCTGGACTATAATCCATTTTTGACACTTGAAAAACTAATGTAAACACTCGCAAAAACGTTAATACTAAATCGGAGAGAGCGCATTGCGTACAGCGCACAACACGAATTATGCTAGAGACTACAATAGCCCAACGATGTAAGGGTTGTAAATACTACAACAATAATTTTTTTCTCGGAAACTATAAGGATTTTACAAAAATTTTTGGATCTTGATTGTTTTTGTTTTCATTTAATTTAATAATAAATCCTTATTAAATATAGTTATAGCATATGACACTCGAACTCCTCAAGATTTTAAAAAAAGCCATCAAAAATATTTTACTAGCGTATTGGGAGACTGTCGTTCATGTATACGCGAGTACCAATTTTATGTAAACTCCTTAAATGCTCATGAGATATAACACAAAAAAATATATATTTTTTCTAAACTTTAACACCCTATATCTCGAAAATAAAGCTTCCTAAAGTTAAAAGTTTTAGAACAAAGTGTACTTATTTTTCAATAAGGAATCGATTAATGTAATTTCAGTATTTAAAGTAAAATCACCCTGTATAAGAGGAATTTATTAAATAAATTTGCAATTAAAATGGATGTCTCGTCGTCTCTTATATCTAGGTATACACAGGCATGCATACCTATAAAAGTCAATATATTATTACCACCAAGCAAATAAAACCCATGTCCAGTAAATCAAAGATAGATGTAGCCCATAAATAACAAGTGACGTAACATAAAGTAAACTATAAATAAGTGGTATTTAATATACCTCCCCCTATTTTTATTGCTTTTATTTTCATTGCCTACAAAAAGCTGATGTTTTTAGTCGTGACTAAATGGAAAATAGTTTAGTTATTTGGTGTGGAGAAGTTATATTGGTTCAGGTGATATTTTGCATATGTCAGTATAATAAATAATCAATAATCAAGTCTTCCTTATGCATACTCATTTTCGAGCTCGAACTCGAATTTCCTAATCGGGAACATGGTTTAGAAAAACAAAAGCGTCAGATTGCCGCAGTAAACAACGGGGACTATTTTATTATTGTTAATTGATTTAGTAAAAGATTGTTGTTTTGTCTAAGAAAACCTAGAACATTTTTAAATTATATACCGTATTTACTTTAGTAAAAGATTTCTCTTTAGATTGTTTTAATAGTTAGTTGGGTAAAATAACTAAAATATACCGGAAGATTTCCGACAAAAATTTCTCCAACATAACTGTGAAATTAATTCATTAGTACTTTTAACAGCTGTCTAAATTATTGGAGTGACGTTGAGTGTTCCTACTTATTACTGCCATTAAATTAGCAATTATTTTTCTAACAGGGAGGCTTATTATGTACTAATAATAAATAAACAGGAAATACAAAAATCTTCCTGGCAATTTCTGTTCTCTAGTTTATCACTTTGATAATTATTGCTTTAGAGACTTTAGACACTTTTACACTGTAAAATTTCTAATATTCTTTATTTTTTTCAGTTTTAATGAATCATATTTTCTTTCATAATTTATACAGGGTGGGCCACCAGTAACACCTCGATGGCTAGGGGCCAAACGGCAAATATTATAGAAACTTGTTTAGGTGGGTACGTGTAGGTTGATTACGGCTACATTTTAAAAATATTTTGAAATATACAGGGTGTTCAGGAAAAGCGTACCATATCAAAATTATGTATTTTTAAATGGAACACCCTGTTTTTTAATGCATTTTTGAAAGCACCATTAAAAAATAGGTGAACTTTATTAAAGGTTCTGCATAACTAAGACTTATTGTTTGTGAGATATTTTAATTTTAGTGAAAATGCAGGCTTAGCGTAGAAATTTAATACTAGCAATAAAAAAATTATTTTAAGGAAGCAGCTTTGGAGAGTATATTATAGATCCTTGAGGTTATAAATTATTATATTTGTCGTCACTTAGTATTATACAGGGTGTTCAAAAAACTGCTGGATTTTCTCAACTTTAAACAGCAATAACTTGGTTATTTTAAATGGGACACCCAGTATATTTTTACTTTGGGAGTTAGGAAATTTAAAACTCTTTCAAACTGTGTAGGTTCCCTATACCTATCTCTAACGGTATTGGAGATATTTGTGCCGTTTCATTATTTATCAAATTTTTTTGTAAGATGTATCCACGTGTCTTCATAATTAAAGTATCCAAAGATTCAGGTCGTCCAAATAATCATACGTATTAAAAACAATTTAGGTACTACCAAAAAGAAAAAAAGAAATATTACTTAGTAATTAGTTAAATTACCCTTTATTACTGTTTGTGTGAATTCATAAATAAATATATCAGTGTTGAAGTGTTTTATTTAATCCTTCATAACTATGTTCATTTCCAATGTGAGAGAGGTTTGAGGGTTTAAAAACCTACTGTCCCATAGAAAAACAAAAACATTTGCATGTAAATAAAACCATACGTTAATTAAATGTTTTTCTGTGCCCTTGAACAAATACTAACAATAAGAGCAGAAGTAGTCCGTCCACATCACGTTTCGATATTTCGTGGGATTAAAGTGAAGCAGCTATAGGAATTTTTGAATAATTCTGAAATAAAAGATGACATTTTTCAGGATGAAATACAACTTCCTGAAAATCTTCTGAGAAAGAACTGAAAATAAATGATGACGCTAGATTCCGAAGTTTTTTGTGAATTCATTAAAATGCTTATACAAATTCCAAAATTTAAAAAAGCAGTACTTTAAATTTTCTTGTGCTTATGAACAAACATGTCCACACTAGTTGTTTGTAGGCAATTGTTTGTGTTTGAAACACATGCATTTATAAAATTATTTTTACAGATTTTTGTAATATCAATCAGATTTGTCAGCTTTCGTTCAGGGACAAGCAAAAAATACTCCATTAACGCGTGGTTTCGCTTACGGGGAATGTTTATGTTTTTGTACCGGACAAAAACAATCATGGACTAGGCTAGGCTTTAAAGTTTGTTTAATCGAACAAACATCAGTATTTGCCAATAGCAGCTCGGTGCTGCATCCCAACTTATTATAACAAACCAACCCATTGCTGGAGGAACATGTGCTTTCTCCGAGCGCGGTACTCGCGATAGTAGTCGGTGCTCCACCGAACAGAAGACTTTAAATCGCAAGTGTCGCGCACTGTGACTGTGCCACGGGCTATCCTCGGTCTAGTATCTGAGCGTTTTTACTGCCGACGATATGCACATACCCGGGTACTTCCTCGACTGAAAGTGAAGGGACGCTCGACGCTATTTTTTTTGTTTTTGCTGAAAAACGAAAGTGATTTAGCTGGGCGATTTCGGTTTAGCTGGCGCGACGAGTTCGCTGTGTTTTGAGGGTTTTTTATGTGGGATTTACTTTACGTTTTTTCTTCGTTCTGTATCGACGGGAGATATAATTAAGGTAAGGGATGCGTAAGGACAGCGCTTCATTAAATTTTTCTAAAAGCACGAGAAAAAAATGTTTGTAACTTTTTAAGTATAATTTAATTTACTGTTATTGAAATTGTTGTAGTTAATACATTAATATGAAAATAATCCATCCTTATTTATAATGTGTAGTCTTCTTAGATTTTAAGAACTTTTTCTTTTAATTCAAAAAATAGTGGGCAATCCTTCGGATTTAGGTAGGCCTTGTAAAAATAAGTTTATGTAATTATTTTTAAAAATTAAAAAAGCAGACCTACAATTTTTTTAGGTCACCAAAGTAACTATCAATAAATTTATTTTTTTCTCAAAGATTTCATTCATTCAAAGATTTGTGAAAGATATAAAAGATTTTTAAAATGGAAGTATTACATGCAAAACCGAAACCTCATGTTATATCTTCCTGGTAATTACGTTGGTCCTAAATTTTCCCGAATAATAGGTAGGTACATCAAAATGTATGGGTACTTCTTTAGAGCTTTTTCGGGAACATACAGGGTGTCCTCTAATGAATTGTACACAGCGTAACAGGTATTTTGTGACGTCATAATAACGTAATCTGGCCAAACTTACCTTCCAAAAGTTGATAGCAACCGAGTTACAGGATGTCAAAATTATAATGTTTTTTTTCAATTTTGTTAATTGTATTTAAGCGAAATTCGCTATCCCCGGGTTTTTTGACATGAAAAATTCAAATTTTCTCATAACTGTGGCATTATTTTAAAGCCCGACGCTTTTTAAAGTTAATAAACTTTTTGTTAGACACAGTATCTTATTTTCTGATAGCAACATCTCTTTTTCTATCACTTTTGCATAAAAAAGGTATACTTTCTTGATGTCGCTAGAAATTACGGTTCTCGAAACATTTGCTTTTAAAAAATTCAATATACGACAAGAAAGTTAGAGAAGCAATTTAATTTTTATTTTATCAAAAGCAACATAACTGGACATAACCGTGAATTATTTTATTAAATTTTCAAAATGGCCCCGTCCACTTCCATACATTTTCTAATTCTTTTTGTTAAAGATTTACGGACTTTAAAAAAAAATGTTGGGTTGATTTCTAATAAACTGTGAGGCATTCAATATCTCGTTCCATAATTCTGGTCGATTCCAAAGGCTACGAGGTAGCCATCGGAGTAATTTCCTCTTCCAATCCATCGATCATTTCGAAGGTTATTTAAAAAATTTTAAAATAAAACTAGCACCCTGTAATTCGGTTACTATCATCTTTTGGACTAAGGTAAGTTTGGCCAGATCACATTATTATTATGACGTTACCAATCACTTGTTACTCTGTGTACAATTCATTACGGGAAAGCCTGTATACTAGAGAAGATATATGTATACCGAGTGTTAATGGTATGTTCTACCTAACTTTGTGGATTCTACATCAGAAATCGATAAAACAAGTGTTTGGAAACACTTGGTTTTTCGCCATACAGGCTGTTGAAATTTTAAAAACTCATTATTTAAATATCTCTTAAAATATCTGAAACAGTAGATTGTTGAAACTGGGGCTAATGACATGGGCAAAAATTTAGTGACTTGGTATACAAATCCGTCAATCAGTGGCGCCGGGACTTGGAAACACTTTCTTTAAAAAATCTTAGAGTTTCAACATCACTAAATATTTTAGAAATTGTAATGTTCGGTTGACATTTAAAAAAAAAAGATATAGACCACTTCTCAGTTGTTATTATTGTATTAAATTCAAACAAACCTAGGAATATACTTCAATAAAGGAAAATAACTCCAATATTAATAATAATAATGCATTTATTGCCCAACGGAAAACATTCCATTTACAGGACAAAATATAAGTAGATAATTATAATATAAGCATACTACTGTACAACAAATAAAGAAAACAAATAAATAAACAAAATAAAAAAAAACAGCAAAGAGGAAAAAAGCGAAACGTTTATCTAATATTGAAAATTATTGAAATAATCGGACGAAATTCTTAACAAATCATTAATATTGCAATGAAATAAGTCACACTGATCTGCTATTTGGTTATAATTATTAGCCATTAAATAAACAGGAGAATTTACAAGCACATTTGTTCTAGCATTCCGACAGTAAAACAGTGAATTCTTACGAGAGCCAGGTCTCGGAACACGTAGATAGATTAAAGCCTAAAAATCAACCATGCAATGAAACAATTTAAATAAAAAAGATAAACTTTCAACCACCCTTCTAGTATTCAGCGACTGCATACTGAATCTTTATAATAGTAATTGGTGGTTGTATCCCCTATCAAGACGAAAAAACAGGAATTTAATATTAATATTATTCGAGTCAATTTTAAATATAAGTCCATAAAAATCATTGGTGGAGGAATTTTTAATTTTCTGAAGAACAATAACCCCCTAAATAATTTTAAAATGCCGCGCCAATGATTTTTTTTAATTTTTGATTTTTATATTATATAAAATTGTATTAATACAAAAAAATCAAAAATTTTTTTTGCTAGACGAATAATTTTGGAGTTTCTTTCGAATATATTCGACTATGCCGCCTTATTTTATATTTCGTTTTTTTTCGAATAAAATGAAGCATTTTTTTTTTAAACTAACTGGAATTTAATAGGACCCAATTTTGCAAAATATTTGGTGGTGTTGAAATTCTAGGGCGACTGACGGTGTTTCCGTGTTCACAGCTGCGCCAATGGTTGGAAGATTTGTGTACCAACTTTTGTCTATAATAAATAATTAATCAATTACTTCCTTAGCCAAAGTTTTATCTGTTTACGACAAGCATAAAATAGATATACTTAAATGTGGTTTTTTAATTTCAACACGCAGTATCTCAAAAATGAAGGGTTTACTGACATGTTTTGCATTTTTTTAAACAGTTATAACGTAGAATACCTTCACCATTAAAGTAATATATCATTAACGTTCTCTATAGAGGCAGATGGTAGATATTCTATTTATTGTAATTTTAAAAGCTTTTTAAGATATTTTTCATTTTAATCTTACACTTAAGAAAGTATTTTCGTTTACTTTCAATAAATTGAACAGTTTTCGAAAAATATCAAATATTTTGAAAATTTTCCGTAAAAAAATCTATGTACTTCTCAAGTTTTTTAGAGATAAAGTAGTTTTAAATTGGGTCAAATTAAAAAAGTTTTGAATAAAATACTTATCACCCTCTAAAACTGCAATACCTATATGAGATTGGAATAATATGTATTACATAAATAATTGCGTTGATGGACTAAGACTAAAAGACTTTTCAGATATCGCAAAAACATAATCTGCTATCTCTTTCGAAATATCTAAAAAATATCACTAAATTTAAGAACCACCTTGTATACTGAATATATTTCAAAATGGCCGATTTAAAAGTCAGTACCCCAATGTTGTTGATTAATTACAAATGTTGAGAGGATAATTATACCCAAAGAATTAAAAATTACTAGCAGACATCAATCAAAAATAAAGTTTTTTCGCGGTAATAGAAGATAATTAAAGCCTCACACAAAGCACGAGTTACTGGTTATTTATAAACATTTAATTGCTTGACGTTAAAGGATTTTCAACGTTTAGCGAAGTGTGATATCCATAAAACTGAAAGTGAATGCTGCATCTTCAGTTCTGACCTAATTGCTAAACGGTGTACCAATAATGATTATGCAATTTATAATCAAACTAGTTTAGTTTTAGTGACCGGTTGATATTTCTTGTAACAGCCGAATACAGTGGACCGTGAATTTAATGTTTTCTCGTTCATCAACTTCAGCAAAACCAAATTTATTTATGGCACCCTAAAACAAACGTCAGTTATGATAATGGATATGTACTTCTCCGTTCACTGTTTTAGTAAAATGAAAGTGTGTGTATAAATTTTCTCTCGTGCCACTTGATAGCGGCTAAACATTTAATTTGTTTATAAGTTTCTAAAAAGCTACACGTATCACTCTTACACTAATAATTATTCTATAAATCTGTCCAAATGTGCAGCATAGTTGTACCCATGTTATTAATGTATGTATATATCATGAGAAAGTAAAGTAATATATCATATTTCAAAAAAAAAATCAGAAATGGAGTGAAAGTAGTGCGTCTAATTTTTACATAATTATACCACTAAGACATTTAAATAAATAAATCCTTCGAGAGTTTGTCATTTGGGAAAGGAAGTAAATCATATATCATGTCATTCTCTTGGTTATACAGAGTGGGAAGTTTAACTGGAACAAATTCTGTATCTTAATAAATAAAAGTTTGTCGCAAAATTCCTAAAACACGCCAACTTTTATTTTATAAAGAACAATAAGCACTTTTTATTGTCCACAGTTGTACATATTTAATTTAGTTGCTCATATGACAGTTCAGATGCGTAAAGGTTTTGAATTAAATTGTATCATGTTTTTCCTAAACCAGTTTTGTCCTCAACTTCAGGTATAAGCCAAGCGTTTTGAGAACTCGGTCTTATTTTCGATTTTACGTAAAGATTAAAGTTGCAAAATACTACAGACCCCTTTCTTATTTAAAAAATGTGGACGATGCCTGTTTACCACAATGGAATTATCTGTGAACCAATCTGTTGTTGATTCACGTTGGATCTTTTTTAATTTTTGTGGAGTAAATTAAGATTGTGGTTTAGTTTGTTTATTTTTCTGCGGTTTGATGCGAGATTTGAAAATGAATTGAATCTGGAACGTGTTTGTAGAGCATGAATTGAGAAATAGACGCAGTATTATGACTGAATAAGTTTATGTTTTAAGTAGCTTCAGTAGGTTTCAAATATAAGACAATTTAGTGTAAGATAATAAAATATGACGCGAAATTATTGTGCTATCAAAAAACAGCAGGTGTGTTATCTGTTTTACATTATTGAATTTAATATTTTTTTACTACATATGTATTTGGATTTTTTGTAGCACTTGAAGATCGCCCACACATTTGTTAATTATTAAGCTTTCATCCGGGATTAATGAGCAACTAGTTTTTTTTTTACTGAATA